TCAAATTAAAACTATTAAAAATGAATGGAAAAAGAAAAAGGTGAAAGTGAGGAACAGAAACGAGTTAGCTGGAAAATGAGATCGGACGTAATCATCTATGCAAAAGCAATCAGAAGGCTTGGGGTGAGGAACGAACAGGAAGAAGGACAGGAGGGATACGGAGTAGGGGTGGCCCCAGATGTAATTGGTCTTTGTTAATTTTTTTAGTCAAAGTCCATATATCAACATTAAAATCCTTCTCTTCACCATAAAGGAAAAAAACATTAAAATTCTTCTCTTTGGTGTTCTTATGCCATGTCAACTTGAGAATCTAGTTAAACTTGTCAGCTGATGGAGCTTAACGTGCAAGTGATCACTGTTGAAAAAAATTGACGCAATGGAATAAATTATTTTTTGTGAACAAATATGTGAATAATAATAAATAAATGATGAAACAAGTGGCTTAGTCAACCAATATTAACGGTTAGTGAAAAAGACGACATAATCAGCTAAGGAAAATAAATTGGGTGGTTTAACCACCCACTTAGGAAGAAAATAAAACGGACGGTTTAATCAGCCACTTAAGAGGAAAAATAAATAATAAGATGACACCAAATTTTAGTGGAAAAACCTCCAAAAACTATTGAGAAAAAAAACCACGGGACAAATTCTGAAGGATATTTCACTATATAATAAAATTGTACAGAGTATACACTTAAATATTTTCTCTCTCTTGGTGTTTTTCACTCCCCAAGATATGATCATAATCCTAATAAACTCACAATTTTATCACTCAATGTATTCTCTCTAGAGCACTCTTACACCTAAACTTTTAATGGCTAGCTCTCACCCCACTTTTTTTCTTTTCACCCGGAGCTCTCTCTTTGGAACTCACTCACTCCCTTTGCTTTTTCTCTTGGTTCTTGCTTCTTGCTTGCTTATTGCCTTGCCATTGCATGCTATTTATAGGTAAAAAACCCAACCACCCGGTGCAAGTTTTCTACCTCATTAAATGAGGTTCATTTATAATGGTTGAAATAACCATTGTAAATATTCAACAATAGCTGCTGTAGCTTACAACCTTTTGCAATAGGGCGATAGAAATGGGGTTGGACTTTCATGGGCTGGAACTAGAAGCTTCTGCCAACAATCACAAGTGCGTCTCTCCATTGAATTTTGGGTTTCTAGTAGATTTTGAATTATTGAGGATATTAATTCAAAGGAAAAATATTAAGGGATATTAACTGCAAAAAATAATATTATTAAAAGTATAAATAAGAGGTTTAGCCTTTAATTTATTGTATGATCAATATTAGAAACATCAGCTGGGAGAAATGCAAGAAAAACTGCACCTGATTGACACTTCTCCTACAATATGAATTAATTGCAGAGGTTTTAGAGAACTGTTAGCTCAGGAGGGGGTAGCTTGTATAACTTGGATTGCAAGAAGTTGCGGTCAAATTTTTAAGTTCCA